CGTAGAAATTCTCTGTCTGGATATTTATTGTGGAGATTAATGGACTAAAATGGGTTGCTGCACCGTGACTGTCTTCTCCTTTTTTTGGAGAGTAAAAACTATATTTTGGTTTTTAAATGCTGCCGCTGCACCGTATTAAGAAATCATATTACTGGTTGGTTCGAAATGGGTTGAAATGTTCACATTTCTTCTTTGCTTTACATGCTGATCACTAAAGCGTGCTTTAATTAATATTGCGTTTTCGTAAAACGTAAGAGCAAACAAGGGGGATTTTAATTGACAAAAATAATAAAAATCAGCACATTTCCAAGCCAACTGCGGTTAACATTGGCACGTCGGCTTGAAAAAATCTCCTTTTTGCCGTAAATAACACACATTTCATAGCTGTTGTGGGTTATGTATGTGTTCATCAATGCTTGAGAACTGTAACTTTGGGGAGCGGGTCGTAATTGTGGGCTTTTAATGCGGTGCTGTCTGTGGCGAGGTGTTGGTAGGGTCTGATCGGAGCTGCAGCCAGAGCGTTTCTCCCGACCAGCGGCTGCTGGGAGCTGGTCCACGGTGAAGCAGCCCACGCAGCCGAACGAGGGCTTCCCGGCTAAGAGCTGACCGCAGCGGCCCCGACGACCGCGGGCCAGCGACCCGAGAAATAACATGGGGAGTCCTGCTGCTGCCTGCTGTTGTTTGTTTTCCGTAGTAAATACCTGAATATGCAGAGACTCAACAGGTCATTCAGTTGTGTGGTATCATTCAGATGATCAAATGAAATGTTGCAACATTAATATCAGTTTACCTGATCTTGATCAATAATCACATTGATGAATTGGTGCATGAATAACTACAGACCCTGCTTCCTGCAGCAGCTTTTTCTGCTCTAGATTTATGATCTGCTATTTGTATATTTCAAGGAAAAAGACGGAAATGGCATTAATTATTTAGATTTATTTGTGGATTTTTTTGTCGATGTTAACCCTTGTTGTGTCTCAGTTCATGAAGCTGTTTTCAATGTTTCCCGCGATGCGAGCAACTGATTGTGCAGCAGATGGCCGCGGACATGATCAATTTCGAAGTGCTAGTTCTGGATCAAGAGAAAGCCTGCTGTGCTGTGCCGATGATTTTATTTTGCGAGGATGGATTGAGGAAGGGGGACACACATGCTTAAATATCGACTGTCGGCAATAATCAGATTCATACTCATAAAATACTTGTTTACATGTTTTGTGTGTGTGTGTGTGTGTGTGTGTGTGTGTGTGTGTGTGTAACTCTGCCCACTAATCAGTTACGTATTTTGTTTTTTGTTGACATAAATACAAAAATTATGCAAAAGAAAAGAAGTGAAATAATGTACAAAACTAAAGTGTATGATCCAGTATCGAACCCGCGACCTTCACCATTGCAGGCGAACGCGTTAGTCACTATACCAACAGCACTAGGTCCTACATCTCCTCGCAAATTCATACCTTTAAAATACTATGAGTGCTGGCAGGCTTTACAGCAACGTATGTAAAATAGAGCCTTTTTTATTATTATAAACTTGTCGCTTCCGTACAAATGTGAAACAATATATCTGACGGAGATTTCTGCGGAGTTTCTGCACTTTCCTGTCAACAGAAACAGACATGCTGTCTGCCGCTGCCTTCCGCCTCCAGGCTTTTTCAGACTAATAACTGAAAACTAAAGACTGCACACGTTAACTGAACAAAGATTACAGCAATACACCACAACTTTCTCGCTACAAATATCGTCAAAACATATTTATGTGCTCAAACGATCTTAGTTTATCAAATTTTCTCTTAGAACAGCCTGAACAGAGTCCGCCATACTTTCTCAGTTTCTCAGTCCTACATGGACCAATCACATTGCTGTTCTGCATTTCTTCATTTGCATGTAAAGGCCGGATTTGCTCACTAGCTAACTAGTGAGCAGTACAGCGGTCGAACTAGTTAACATGTTACACAGAATGCCAGCCAAGTGTGTATTTATTCAAATTCCACAAATTTACTAGTTTTAGGGGCATTTTTCTGCAGCTAGTTAACTAGTGACAGTGTTTTGTGTTCACTACTTAACATGTAAGGCTCAGTTTGCCCTCTATAAGCTAGTGAGAAAAAATTATAATGCAGATATGCTCACTAGTTAACTAGTGAGTGCTTCCTGTCCCATTACAAGTGAACTAGAAAGGCCAAATATGTCAACTAGTTAACTAGTGAAGGTAAATTTGTCACTAGTTAACTAGTAAGAACACATTTTTACATAACAAGTAAACTAGATTGCTCCAAAAACAGCAACTAGTGTGCGTCTTGTGCGCACTAGTTAACTAGTGAGCATATCTGCACCTCACTAGTTAACTAGTGAGCATATCTGCACCTCACTAGTTAACTAGTGAGCAAATCCGCACCTCACTAGTTAACTAGTGAGCAAATCCGCACCTCACTAGTTAACTAGTGAGCAAATCCGCACCTCACTAGTTAACTAGTGAGCAAATCCGCACTTCACTAGTTAACTAGTGAGCAAATCCGCGCCTCACTAGTTAGCTAGTAAGCAAATCCGCACTTCACTAGTTAACTAGTGAGCATATCTGTGCCTCACTAGTTAACTAGTGAGCAAATCCGCACCCTACTAGTTAACTAGTTGGCGTTTTAGGGCCCACTAGTTAACTAGTGAGCATATCTGCACTTTACAAGTTAACTAGTGATGCTTTTTTGCACCTTACTAGTTAACTAGTGGGTGCTTTAGGGCACACTAGTTAACTAGTGAGCAAATCTGCACCTCACTAGTTAACTAGTGAGCAAATCCGCACATCACTAGTTAACTAGTGAGCATATCTGTGCCTCACTAGTTAACTAGTGAGCAAATCCGCACCCTACTAGTTAACTAGTTGACATTTTGGGGCCCACTAGTTAACTAGTGAGCATATCTGCACTTTACAAGTTAACTAGTGATGCTTTTTTGCACCTTACTAGTTAACTAGTGGGCGCTTTAGGGCGCACTAGTTAACTAGTGAGCAAATCTGCACCTCACTAGTTAACTAGTGAGCATATCCGCACCTTACTAGTTAACTTGTGGGCGATTTGGGGCCCACTAGTGAACTAGTGACACTTATTTTGCACCTCACTAGTTAACTAGTGGACATTTGTACCCTCTCTAGTTAACTAGTGAGCAGTTCTGCCTTCACAAGTTTACATGTAAGTGTCACACTGAAGCCACTACTAGTTCACTAGCTGAGGTTCCTCTGGCCAGCATGTTAACTTGTGTGCCGCATGCAAATGTTTGGGGTGGGATTTTACGAAATTCCGCACTGTGATTGGTTGTCATATTTTATTTTGACACAGGGAGCCAATAGAGAGTCTTAATTTGAGAAATTCTCCGCCTCCTAATTAGAATTCTGCGCAACTAGCTAGCTAGTGTGAATGTAGACTTGAACTAGTTTACTAGTATACATTTATGTCCTCACTAGTTAACTAGTTTGGACAATGGATGCATCAACTAGGTAACTAGTGAGCCTGCTGCCATCAACTAGCTAGCTAGTGAGCCATTAATGGTTCACTAGTTAACTAGTGGCACTGACCTACTCCAACTAGTTAACTAGTTAGGAGTTAAGCCTTCACTAGTTAACTAGTGTGCACATTTTGGCCATCAATAGTTAACTAGTGAGACACAAAAAACCTTCAACTAGCTGACTGGTATGCACTTTGGCCTTTACTAGTTAACTAGTGAGCCATTTATGTGACAACTAGTTAACTAGTGAAGCCAAAATGTGTTCACTAGTTAACTAGTGCACATTTATGTCTACCACAAGTTAACTAGTGTGCACATTTTGGCCATCACTAGTTAACTAGTGAGACACAAAAACCTTCAACTAGCTGACTGGTATGCATTTTGGTCTTTACTAGTTAACTAGTGAGCCATTTATGTGTCAACTAGTTAACTAGTGAAGCCAAAATATGTTCACTAGTTAACTAGTGCGCATTTATGTCTACCACAAGTTAACTAGTGTGCACATTTTGACCCTCACTAGTTAACTAGTGAGACAAATACCTTCAAGTAGCTGACTGCTATGCATTTCTGCTTTTACTAGTTAACTAGTGAGCAGTTTTTGTGTCAACTAGTTAACTACTGAAGCCTAAATGTGTTCACTAGTTAACTAGTGCGCATTTCTGCTGTCACTAGTTAACTAGTGGGCACATTTTCACCCTCGATATTTAACTAGTTGACACAAACATGTCTAACTAGTTAACTAGTGGACAGAAATGGCTTACATGTTCATGACAATTCTGGCTGATATCCTGATATCAGAATAAATGCTCATTTGGCTTGCCATAGACACAAACATGTCTAACTAGTTAACTAGTGGACAGAAATGGCTTACATGTTCATGACAATTCTGGCTGATATCCTGATATCAGAATAAATGCTCATTTGGCTTGCCATATAGAATTAAACCTGGCAGTGGGCGCATCACTAGGCTTGACTTTTAAACTATGTTACATCGCCCTCTTGTGGTAAATATTGCAAGAACATTTGTCAATGTTCATTCAGGTGTCCCGTAGTTTACAAATATCACTGATATTCATGCTGATATTAAACACTTGAATGTTCCTGTTTTTATATTAAAATTAACTACAAGTCATTTTCCCGTTCAAATTCTAATTTTAAAAGTTTTAAAGCCTTTACTTCCTCAGTGAGCAACATATTTATTTGTGTGACCCTGTTACTCATAAACTGTTTATTTGATATATTTGGTAGATAACATTTTGAAAGTCAAGTTGTTTGAAAACATCAATTTTCCCTAAAATACAGAAAAACCAAAGTGATCAAAAATCACCGTGGACTTTCACAGGCTGTAGTTTGAGTTTTATTTTGAAAATCATGCCAATTTGTTTCCGTTTCAATTAAAACCCCAAAATGATATATATTTTTATTTAAACAATAAACGACTAATCCTATTTCATGCATTGATTTTATTTCCTAAAACCAAACCGTAAACAGTTTCAGAAAAAAAGAAACAAAAGTACGGCAACTTCCGGTTAAGCTTGTCCGTCAGTAAAACCGCTCCGTAAACAACAGCAGCAGGAGACGAGGTTATGGCAACAATGATTGAGGAAAATGGACCTTCAACTCGTGTATGTTTCCAAAGAAGCTTTTATTTTTCACACTGATGTTTTTGACGCTCTCTATTTAATTTATTGAGGAACAAAAAGGTTATAAACAGAGAAAGTGCATCTATTTTAGAGCTTCGAATGGAGCTAAATGTTAGCTGGCAGCTAACACACGTTATCGTTACTAGCTAATTTATTTGGTTAAATCGTTTTAACGTTATCAGATATTAACATAATACTGATTATTTTACCTGAACATAATTAATAATTAAGTGTCGTTAACTAACGACATAAAATATTAGATTAGCTACCGAGTTATCATGAGAGTCGTTACCAGCAAGCTTTTAGACGGTTAAATGCACATAACACAATTCTGACGCTCTTGAGAAAATTAAACTGATTTAATAGTTATCCGTTTTTTTATTTTTGCCCTCACCCAGGAGCAATCTGAAGTGTCTTCCTCATCCTCGTCATCCTCCTCCCAGGCTAGGCAGAAACTAGAGGGACTCCTCAACAAGAACATGAGGATCCGGATGACAGACGGAAGGACTCTGGTGGGCCTTTTCCTCTGTACAGATCGGGACTGTAACGTCATCCTGGGTTCTGCTCAGGAATTTCTCAAATCTACAGGTATGAATTAGGGTTTCCTCCAATTAGGGCACACGTTTATAGACTTTGATCATTCCAAAACCTGGGAATAGCATCTCTGTTCCTCTGAAATGCACAAACTTGATTTGTTTACTCACTTTGTTTGCTCATCCCAGCATCTAAAGCAGTTTTTCTCTTTATTTTAGTAACCAAACAAGCTGAACTTGGTCGCCCTTTGATGTTAACTGGTAACATGTTAAAATGTGACCTCTTAAGAAATTTCAGGTTTTACAGCATCAGAAAAAGCCTCAACGTTGATCAACAACCGCATAATGATATTATTACACAAGTATAATCTTTTCCTGCTTTGTTTACCTCTCAGACACATTCTCCCAGGGGGAACCCAGAGTCCTGGGTCTAGCCATGATTCCCGGTCACCATGTTGTGTCCATCGAGGTAGAGGCGGATACTCTAGAGGACACACAGGGATTCGGAGCCACACACTGACAGTTTGGCAATCTCTTGGGACTCACTGGGTCCTGCCTAGTCAGGCGAGTTCTGGAGAAATCGGGACATGTTTGCAGGATTTTAACCTGACTGCACTCTGGATTTAGCCATTCCCATAATGACTGAAAGAAATTTGACAGGAACAGTGGAAAAGTGGAAAAGGCCTCTGGGGGAAAGTATGTGTTTGCATAAATGTCTTGTTTTGTTGCAGTATTTTAAAATAAACGTTTACTTGAAGTTTTTGTTGCTGTGAAGCTTGTGTAAAAGTCAGTTTAGATCAGGGAAAAAGCTAAATAAACAAGAATGATTTATTTACTTTAAAGAAAGAAGCTAAGCTGGATTGTTTCTGTACTTTAATACATTTGAGCACATCAGCTGATTTAGTTTGGCCACAAATGTTTTTGCCACAAAGGAAAAAAAGAAAACAAAATCTTTTCAAGTTAAAAACAAAGAACCCGTCACATTTTGGTTCACACACAAGCTATTACAGTCTTAAGGCTGTTAGTTATAAAATAACTTAAGTTTGTGCAAAGAAGAACGTAAAATAGCATAACAGAAAATATGTGTCTCACACGGCCGCAATGCCCGAATCTCGTTTACAGACAGCAGTTTATTACTTTAGGTGTTGCTCTGTGGTTTGGTTCCACACTTCAGATAAATATTATCCAAACATTCTACTCATGATGCTGAAACCCAAGCTCCAGCTCAGCCCAGAGCGTTTATTTATAAACGAGGCTCTCGGATCGCTGCGGAAGACGCTTGGTTTGTAGAACAGCTTAAACAAGTAACGGCCTACAGTAGCGTTTCAGGAGAGGAGAAGCTGTGGAGCCAAAAAAAGGTGCAACTTCAACAAAATAAAGGAAAAGTTCAGTTATGACGTGCTTCATTTTCATCTAGGAAACCAAATTTGGTTCGGTGTTTAACACGTTTTTGATTTGAAGCTAATTTCCTACTTAAAGGATCAAATTAAAGATTTCATTCAGCGTACATCCACCAGCTGCTCGCCGTTATTCTGCGAACATCTGCTCGCTGTTTTCAGCTTTAGTCACAACTTCTACTTCAATCAGAAACAGAGATCCTCTGAATACTGCAGGAAAAACATTCTTTAATGTCCTTAATAAGAAGTGTAGGTTAAAAAAATGGCACAAATAAATTAGAAACCTCCACCGCTTCCAGACGACACCCAAAGAGCTGCAGCCACAACGCGGTTCTTCACTTTCATCCGTCGGAGCGTGAGCTTGTGGCGAAAAGTCCTCGGTTATTTAAAGAAAAGGAGTCCGGGTTGACGTACGAGTTCTGGGGAAGACGTGTATAAATATTCCCTGACACGGTCTCCGTCGGGTCTCTTAATTTTGCTCGAACTTGAAGTGGAAGCTGCCTCCAGACTCAAAGGGGTTAAAGTGGAAAGGCCAGGCTCTCTGTCCGCCGCCCTGCTGGTTCTCCGGGTCCAGAGGGTCCTCGCCGGCGTCGAACTTCTGCCTCATTTCTATTGGAGGACACATTAAAGAACAACTATTCACACAAATACTCATTTCTCCATAAAAAATTAGCCTAAAATACCTTTTTGATCAGCTGCTGAAGGACTGATAAGCTAACGGCTAGTTGGAGTACACTGCTGCCACCTTAAAAACAGCTCTAATCTAAATTTAATCACAATTCATGAACTTTGTCCTTTACACCACTGTTGATTTATCCTTTTGTGGTTATTTATGAGTGAAAACATCACCATCATCAGCAAAGCGTAGCACCTCTGCTGCTAGTTCAGAAGGAACTCGTTAATATTTAAGCTGAAACGCCAAATGGATCATTTATAAAACGATTCTGAATAAACTCGCCGAGGAATTCTGGGGACGGAAGCCACTAGTCTGTCATTTCTCTGAACTGAGGCTATTTAGGAAGCTGATGAGATAGTAAATAAACAGCTACTACAACACATAGATTTCAGGTGCTCCTGACCTGGGTCGGTAAGGACTTCCTTTGCTGATGCGATGTCAATAAATTTCTTCTCCGCCTCCTTTTTATCAGCTTCGGACTGGAAGTTGTCGGGGTGCCACTGCTGCGCCAGCTTCCTGTATGCCTTGATGATCTCCTGTTTGTTAGCGCTCCTGAGGAAGAGTGGGACAAAGGTTTTAGAGAACACCTTCGATCTCAGCAGAGTCCGAATGTGACGAGCTCAGCTGGACCGGCTACCTGCCAACACCCAGGATCTTGTAGTAGTCCCTCTTCCGGGAGACTTTGAGCAGCTTCTGCGCTCGTTCCAGCCCCTCTCTGATGGCGCTGCTGTCGCTGTCAAACTCCCGCGCCTCCTGGTAGTCCTCCACAGCTGCAATAGAAGATAAATCGAAAAGATGAAGCCCATCGACCGTGTAACTGTTTCTTCCTTCGTTTTGCTTCCTTACCTTTCTCGTAGTCCTGGTTGAGGATGTAGGCCTCCGCTCGGTCTCGGAGGACGTTGGTGTTACGAGGGTCCCTCTGGTGCGCCTCTGAACACGAATCTATCGCCTCCAAAGCCAACCCGAGCTGGGACGGATGAAGAACGAGCATAAGTTACCTCAACATATTAAAACAAGCTTAAAATAAACATCTGACGCCTTGAAAGCACAAAACGGAGCGCGTCGTGAATAAAAACTTGAATCGGATGCGTTTTTGTTCCCTCACCTTGACCAGACAGTGGCAGATCCTCTCCTTAGCCAGGTTGGTGTAGAACAGGACATTTGGATCTGTTGTCATCACTGACTTATATTTATCGATGGCTTCCCGATACCTGACGGTGAGCAGAAATGGAAAAACGAGTTTAATGTGGAACTGAACAATGCGGCAGGTGCTGGAGTTCAGGTGTACAGGTGGAGCTGCGGCGGGGCGAGCCGCAGGTTCGATTCGCTCCTCATTTGGATACATTTCAATGTTGGAACACAGAAGTCAGACGGGACGAAAAGGTTCAGTTTGTTCTCTTAAAAAGGAAAGTTGAGCCGTTTTAAAAGATGGATTATGCAAGAACGGAGTGAGAATGACCTGTGGTCAGTTTTGGGTGCCGAAGCCCATTTTCAAGCACACAGATAACTTGCTGACGACAGAGTTGAATGGCTGTAGCCGGCTACGGGTCGGCATCAGAAGATTCTAGATGACGAGTGAAGAGGACTCGTGCACAGTAAGTTGATAAAGAAATACATTTCACTGTAATTTAGACTTGTTGGTATTTTAAAATGCAGCTTGAGATATTTTACAGCTGATTATTTGCTTCACATTCGCAATTAGCATAGTTAGCTTGATGTTAACCTCCAGCACGCTTCACCCAATGTTAGAGTAAAACATAAAGAGGCTGTGACTTGAGCCTTCTTTGTCTGCGTTGGTACGGAGACTCCCAACGCCATTGTGCCCCTGCGTAAGGGCTCTCCGACACGCGCAACCCGTGATTGGTCACGACACCGCTTCCTTTAACTTTTGGACTCTGGGTTCCCATCTGCACAAAGACACGCAGCAAGAATTTTCTTCGTAGACGGAAATGATGAGAAACGTAGGTTAGAGGTGCGAAAACACTATAAACACAATCATGGGCCAGATACACAACTGTAAGGGTGGCATGATACCCCGGAAGAGTGCTACGCCCTCTGTTGTCCTGGTGGGGAATTACTTTTCAACGCTACTCAGGTGAAGAAGAGGTCTGGAGGAAAACAGATCCGTCGACGCGTGTGCATGACTGCACACTCGAATTGACGAAGAAGTATAAATTAGGCTTTAGACGCACAAGGACCGCTCCTTTTACAGGCTTTTTTTAAAACAGCTGGGTTTTGCTGGCGCTGCAGCATTAGCGGTAAACTGTAACAATGTCTCTATTTGATAATTTTAAATGAACACCCCCCCCCCCCCCCCCAGCTGACTGAAAATGACATCTGTTTCAGTGTAACCTTCCGTCCAACATGATTCAGAGTGTTTTGCAATTATTTCACTGTAGAATTCTTACATATAGCTCCTTTAAAGTGTTTCAAACAGCCACCTGAACAGCCTCAGTTCATAGAAATATCAACACACTGCTGTACCTGGTTTATTTACGTGGAATACTATGATTACTAACAAGCTCAAATGTCAAGCAAAAAATATGGCATTTCCAGTGCAAACACTAAAGTGTCCCACTTCTCCCCCTACTGGTTGAAAGTGGAATTCCACCCGTCACCAACAACCCTGCTGCAGGCATCGCAGATAACCATGTCGGGCAGGGTGTTGCATTTACCATACTGCTCAGGAAGTCAGCTACACTTTCTTTCCCCACAGGAACAAACCTTAAAATGATCAAACATCCCTTAAAATCAGGTTGATTAGACTAGATTACTTCTCGATCACACGCGAAAACAACTAAATAACGGCGTTGTTTCTCTAACCCCAACACACACACGTGCCTGGAGAGTGCTCCAAACTTAGAAAGCTAATTAAAACTGCTGACGGGCAGCAAGCATGCGAGTCTGTTTGGAGGAGACAGAGCAGCTGAAGAACAAGACTTTGACTCATTCTGATATTTCTTGCGTTTATTTCTGATAAAAAAAAAACTATAAATGTTTACCTATGAAGTAGAGATGAAAGCAGCAGAAGCTTTATTTAAAAGGTGTGTGACGTTATAAAACGTCCCCTGAACTGACCTCTCCTGCTGAATGTGCTCCTCTGCAGAGTCCAGCTGCTTGCTGAGCTTTTTCACCTGCTTGTAGTGGCTGAAACAGTCTTTGTCATCCTGGTCCAGCTTCAGACACTCTCGGACGTGACTGTGCAAAAACAACAAGGAGGGACACATAAGTCCAGTTCGGGGAGGGAAATGTTTGCATGTGGACATTGGTGTTGGCCCGACGCTCACTTGAGAGACTCGTGGTGCTCTCCAAGGCTGTACTGCAGCACGCTGAGCTTCAGGAACGCGGCACGGTTGTCGTTCCGCAGCCTTGCTGCTGGCGAAAGGTCCAGGATGGCCTTTTGGGGATCCCCCATTCGGATGTAACACTCTGCACGGAGCTCCCGGGACTCCGGATCCCACGGAGAGATCTGAGACACAGAGACGATTCTAAGCCAACTAACTTGTTTTTTAAATGATGCGATTCTTTTTAACCACCTACCTCTATCACCCTCTCCAGCACAGAGATGGTGGCGCTGTAGTCTCCTTGGTGATAGGCAGCGTGCGCCTCCTCCTGCAGCTCCTCCAGCTCATTCGCCTTCATCAGCTGCTCCTCAGCTTCTTTGTGATCCAAAGAGCGCTGCAGCTACAAAAAGAAACAGTCCTTTAATGACGTGGAATATCCTCTAAATCTCTAAAACCCCACATGATGTGAAGTCTTACCACTGTTTCAAAGTCCTCTCTGGCCTCATGTGTGTTTCCCTGCTTCAACAGGATGTTTCCTCTCTGCAATCGGGCCTGGAAAGTCAAAACGTGGATGGAAGAGGTGAGAAACCTCACTGAAGAGGATTTAGCTCCTCTGCGGTTGGAGAGAATCTTACAGGAAGGAAGTCCGGCTTCAGCTGGATTGCTCGGGTCAGATCAGGCAGCGCAGATTTGGACTTTCCCATTGCCAGGAACACCGCAGCTCGCTTGTAGTAGGTCAAGTAATTCTTAGAGTCTCCCTCTGGAAAACAGCCATCTTTAGTTATTATATGTGACTTAAAAACAGAACGAAAACACGCCTTCCAGTCAACCATTTAATGGTGATTTAGATCCCTGAAACATGCATCAGTCAGAGAGATCTTACCCACAGCTGAGTGGTAGTGAGACAAGGCTTCGGCCAGCTGACCGGCGGCCAACAGTTTGCGACCCATCTCCAAATGGTGCTCGATCTCGGCTTGAGTCGCCCCCAGAACACCTGAAAAGACAAAGCTGAACCTGGAAACACAATTCCGAAAACACAAAGGAGCAAAACCTGTGCTCCTTCTGAAGCGTTGGAACTGATCATCAAATCATTTTAAAATCTAAGTTACAACAACAAGCTGCTCAGTTACAAAGTTTGAAGATTAAGTGTTCGGCTTAATCTATTAAGTACTTTTAGAAATCCAAAATAAGAAGATTGTTGTTAAATGCATTAAAAAACATTTTTATAATTTAAAAATTTTTTGCTTATTTGTGGAATTTTTCTGAACACGTTCATATACCCAGAATATATTAAACTAGTGCCAGAAATGTAAAAAAAAAAAAAAAACCTGTTCACTGTATATTTGAAAAATAATCACTGGTATTAAAGAAACTTTAGTTTTAGCAGAATAAAATTATTTATGAAATCAAAATTTTCTGGAAACACAATAATACAGAAAAAAGTTACATATTGTTATGGTTCCATAAATGATGCTTTAATCTCTTACATTTAGCTAGCAGGCTAACTATATTTTTGTTGCTTTTAGCAAAATATTTGTTTACGTTTTCTGATATTTTTTTAAATTGACACTTTAGAGCCCCCGTAGCCGAGGGTAACCTCAAGGACTCCTCCAACACTTACTGAAATGCAATAGTTTATTTTATTGGGGTTATTTGTGTTTGCCACATTTAGCAAAAATCTAATGCTGTTTTAAACAAATACAAAAAAGTAACCCACGTGAGGATAATTATTCAGCGACAGTGTGTTGATTTCCAGGCTGCTGTTTGTATACGCTTTATAAACAGCTGAGTGGTGTCTTACCGTCCAGCTGAATGTCCAGGAGGACACAGAGCAGAGACATGGAGCACAGCAACCCGCTGGCTCCTCCTGCCCGCCGACACCACTCCATCTCCGAACTCTCTCACACCGGGACCCCAAAACGGAGCAGCTTCACGCCACTGCGTCGACAGAAAATCAATTGTTTAATCGAAAATGTCTGAATCCGCTCCGGAAGACCGAAGCAACAGAGAGACGCGACGGGTACATTTACGGTCCCATTCCTACAGAATTCCGTGTGGGAAATGAGGATTCACTGAAAGGTTCCTAAAAAATTAACGTAAACAATTACGTACTTTGTGATAAATCCGTGTCTTCTCGCCTAACTTAATAATCTAAAGCAGAGACAGGTGATATACTCCCAAAGTTGAAACCTATCTGTCCCGTCTAGTCGTATCCTTCCTATCTGGCCTACATTCTGTGGTTGGTCGAGACAGCCAACATCCGGTTTCGTCAACAGGCGTGGGGCACTCTGATTGGGTGGACCGTTTTAACTCCGGCTCTAGTTTCATGTAGCATGCCGTTGTAACATATAAATATCACATACATAATCACCTTTTCCACAGTCGTTGCAAAATACTGATTTGAAATAATATTGTAATCTAATTGTATTCAGTAATAATTTAAAATTTACCAGTTTTACAATAAATGTAGTACTAACTGTCATGTACTGATATTTGATTTGTGACTATGTCTTAAGGGGAGGACTTTTGAACCGGATGTAAATGAGACCGGAAGTGGGGGGGGGGCATAAAGTGGCCTGGAAGAAAGAACACATGAAGGTTGTATAATAAAGGATCCAAGAAAGACCGTGCTTCATGTCCTGATTTAATTCAGAGTGCTCCATCTAATTAAGTAGTAAGGTGGACACACAACAATGGCGACGAGGATGACACGAACAAGATTTTGTTTTTGGGAGAAGTAGACCCGGCGGCGGCACGAGGTTAGCGAAAACTTGTGGGCTAACATGGAAAAGTCAGGTGTTCAACCGTTCTCCTGCTACACTGATCCAGCAACGCTCGGACCAAGATGGACGCGGTGGTTAACATCCTTCGAGTTGTTTGCTGATGGGAAAGGTCTTATTTTGGCTGATGATGCTACGGACGCTGTCAAACAGCGGAGACGCGCTCTTCTACTGCACTTGGCCGGACAGGACGTACAGGACGTCTTCTCCACTCTACCTCGGACGGGAGGAGCGGCGGATTACGCCGCTGCGGTGACTGCACTTAACACTTATTTTGTTCCTCAGGTGAATGCGGCATATGCACGCCAAACTTTTCACAAATTATCCCAAACACCAGGAGAAACTGTGCAACAATTTTGCACACGTTTGAGGCGAGCTGCAAAAGACTGCGACTTTCAAGGTGACAATGATAACCAGATAAGGGACGCTATCCTGAATAAATGCACTTCTGAATATGTACGGAGAAAGCTGCTGGAGGAAGGTCCAGGCTTAACGCTGACTCGCGCGTTGGAGGTGGCTTCTCACTGCGAACGAGTGGAGGAGCAAATGGCGGCGATGAGCGGTACCGGGGAAAGGAAAGGAGAGAACACGGTCAGCCGGATTTTTACAGCAAAGAAAGAGAAGAACCACAGACCAAGAGGACAAATGAAAGATGATGCCAAGACAGACAGGCAGTGTTACAGGTGTGGTTATACTGACCACAGGGGCAAAGATCCCAAATGCCCAGCACGAGGACAAACATGCCACAAGTGTAATGGTAAGGACCACTTTTCGAAGATGTGTCGTACAAAGAGACAAAGGAAACAAAATGTGAATGCTGTTGAACAGGATGATTATGCATTTGTTGTAAATGATGATAATTCACCGGAGAAACTTACCTTTTCTGTTGGGGGAATAGAGTTGGAAATGTTAGTCGACTCGGGAGCTACAAGTAATGTGATGGGAGAAAATATATGGGAAAAGCTAAAAGCTAAAAAGATAAAGTGTCATTCATATGTACCCAAAGAGCAGAGGAATTTATATGCATATTCATCAGCACAGGCACTCTCGGTTAAAGGTGCATTCAGATGTGAAATCAAGATTGGTGACAGAACTGAAGAGGCTGAATTCATTGTGATTAGAGGTAATGGTGAACCACTCTTGGGGAAAAAGACTGCCATAAAGTTAGGAGTGTTGAAAATAGGTGAAAATGTGGCGGCTGTCACAGATTTAAAACATACTCTTAAAGAAAAGTATCCAAAAGTGTTCAAAGGAGTAGGGAAACTAAACACCAAACAGATCAGCCTGTACATTGATCCAAACGTGAAACCAGTAGCACAGCCACTGAGACGCATACCTTATCATTTGAGGGATGCAGTGGAGAAAAAGATCAATGAACTGATTGACATGGACATCATAGAACGTGTGGAAGGACCTACACCTTGGGTAAACCCTGTAGTGGTGCTTCCAAAGAAAGGTGACAAAGATATCAGAATGTGCTTAGACATGAGAAAAGCAAATGAGGCAATAATCAGGGAAAGATACCCCATACCCACGGTGGATGAAATCTTGCAAGGACTAAACGGATCTGCAATCTTCAGCAAACTCGATCTCAAGTGGGGATATCATCAACTAGAGCTTACCCCGGAGTCAAGAGAGATAACTACATTTGCAGTGCATAACGGGGTATACCGATACAAAAGGCTGATATTTGGAGTCTCATCAGCTAGTGAGCAATATCAGCATGAGATCGCCAATGCACTAGCTGGTATTGAAGGAGTTGAGAACATTTCAGATGATGTAATCATACATGCACCAGACCAGGAAGCCCATGACAAGCGCCTGCATGCTGTGATGAAGAGACTCTCTGACTGTGGCCTGACACTAAACGCAGAGAAATGTCAGTTCAACATGGACAGACTTGTGTTCATGGGAATACTGCTTACGCAGAAAGGCATCGGCCCAACTGAAGAAAGAGTGAGAGCTGTGGTGGAAGCCCGAGAACCAAAGAATGCTACTGAGGTGAGAAGCTTTCTTGGACTGGTCGGTTTCAGTAGTAGGTTCATACCACAGTTTGCTACACTCTCTGAGCCGCTTAGACGTTTAACTCGAAAGGAAGTGATGTTTACATTCGGGCCAGAACAAAAGCAAGTGTTCGAAAGACTAAAGGCTGAGTTAGCTAGAGCAGGTACTTTAGCATATTTTGACAAAGAAGCCCCAACTCGTGTCATAGCAGATGCAAGCCCTGTAGGCCTAGGCGCAGTGTTAATACAAACACAGAATGGAGAAGAAGTACCAGTGTGCTATGTAAGTCGGAGTCTAACAGACTGTGAGCGAAGATACTCTCAAACAGAGAAAGAAGCTCTAGCACTGGTATGGGCATGTGAGAGACTACATCCGTATGTATATGGCAGGAAGTTTGACCTCATCACAGACCACAAGCCCTTAGAGGTCATATACAGTCCGAGATCTAAACCTTGTGCACGCATAGAAAGATGGGTTCTACGACTGCAGCCATATGATTATAAAGTAGTACACATTGCGGGAAAACAAAACATTGCGGATTCATTGTCAAGACTGCTCTCTGATACCACGTCAAAAGAGGTACACAAGCATGAATCTGAGGAATATGTGAGATTTGTGGCAGTTAATGCTACTCCAAAAGCACTCACAACAAGAGAGGTTGAAGAAGTCTCTGCTACAGACTCAGAATTAACAGAAGTGCGAAGAGCTATTGACAATGGACACTTTGAAAAATGCAAAGCATACGCGCCCATTGCAAATGAACTCTGTGTCATTGGCTACATAGTCTTGCGGGGAACTCGCATTATATTGCCAGAAAACCTCAGAGCTCAAGCGCTGTCACTAGCTCATGAAGGACATTTAGGAATCGTTGGAACCAAGCAGCATCTCAGAACAAAAGTTTGGTGGCCAGGGATGGACAAAGCTGTAGAAAAATTCTGTAAAGCTTGTCACGGATGTCAAATAGTAGCCAGACCGGATCCACCGGAGCCACTGAGAAATACACTTTTACCAGATGGGCCCTGGCGAGATGTGGCGGTAGACTTACTGGGACCGCTACCTTCAAACCACTCGATACTCGTACTGGTAGATTACTACAGTCGATATTATGAGTATGAGGTGATGTCATCTACAACTGCTGAAAAGGTCATTGACTCTATTGACTGTATATTTAGCAGACATGGGCTACCAGTTACCATCAAATCTGATAACGGCCCACAGTTCAAATCTGAGCTGTTCGGGAAATATTGTGAGACTAATGGAATTAAACATATAAGAACTACACCAAAATGGGCTCAAGCAAATGGGGAAGTGGAACGCCAAAATGCATCACTGATGAAAAGAATCAGGATCGCACAAGCGGCAGGTCTTGACTGGAAGCGAGAGTTAAGAAAATATGTAACAGTGTATCGCAGCATTGAACATCCAACCACGGGCAAAAGCCCAGCAGAACTCCTGTTCAACCGCAAAATGAGGGGAAAGTTACCGAACATCAGTGAGGCGAAAACAGCGGAGTTGGACGTGCGTGATAGAGATGCGGAACAGAAAGGAAAATCAAAGATTTATGCCGATGAACGACGAGGGGCAGAGTATTCAAACGTTGACACGGGAGACACCGTGCTGGTTCAACAAGACAAAGTGGACAAGTTTACAACACCATTCAATACAACACCACACAAAGTTGTAAGCAGAACTGGAAACCAAGTCACTATTGAATCACCAACCGGAGCTCGTTATCAACGGAATACGACACACGTGAAGAAATATGAGACAAATGGGACCCGAGAAGGACACCACGAACAAAACATTATACCTAAAAAGGAAGAAGGTGAGACACCCACAACAACTGACACCTTCACTCCAACACAAGAGGGCCCACAGGGACCAGAGAGATCAAGGAGATCGCAGAGGATTAAAAAGATACCTGAGAGGTTTCGTGATTTTGTGGTGAAATAAATCATAATAGGTTAAGTTGAAGAGGTAACTTCAAGAGGGTTAAGGTTCAAGTTGCCAGTTTATATGTGTATGTGGACATGTAAATGAGGGGCGAGACAGTTAGAAAATATAAGTGTTAGAAAGTAAGATAAGAAAGAATGTTCAAAGAAAAAAAAAAAAAAAAAAAAAAAAAAAAAGAAAGGTTATTAAGACCAAAGTTTGAATCTAAGAAAAAGGGGGATGTCATGTACTGATATTTGATTTGTGACTATGTCTTAAGGGGAGGACTTTTGAACCGGATGTAAATGAGACCGGAAGTGGGGGGGGGGCATAAAGTGGCCTGGAAGAAAGAACACATGAAGGTTGTATAATAAAGGATCCAAGAAAGACCGTGCTTCATGTCCTGATTTAATTCAGAGTGCTCCATCTAATTAAGTAGTAAGGTGGACACACAACACTAACAAGGTCTTGAGAGAAATTCACAATATTTTATTTATTGTTACACTTTTACTGGTTATTTACTGGAATAGCTAGCATTTTAAAGAGCAAGTCACCCCCAAATCAACTATTTTTTTCTGATAAACTAAATAAATGCGTGTCTAATTGTGCTGCAGACACGTGTAGTCAATAGTTTTGCACTTTAGTGCATTTTAGGTAAAATTTAAATTTTCTGCCTGAAACTGTCAATGTTGTGCAGTTGTCAGGTAAAAACTCTTCACTACATTTGAATTTAAATCTGCCACCGCTATTGGCTAAGAGGCATGCTATGATGTAAACTGGTACATTATGATGTCACAATGTCGTGAGTGTGTGTATTTGTTAGTGGCTCCACCCTCTCGGTCTGCTAGGCAACAGCATTTGTTGCATTTTTCAAACATGAAGTGGGAGTGAAGTACGCTTCTTGTAAGGGGTGACTTGCTCTTTAACTAATAACAAAATGAGTAATGAATGTTGATCCACAGATCATTTATGTAGACACCCTGTGGACCACCAATGCCTATTGGAGATGCCGTTGGCTGGCCGGCCGCCAACTTGGGTGGGTCACCATTTGCCCCCAGTGCCTTTATTTCTACTGAAGAAGGTGTTTACCCAACTAAAACACATTTTATTATGATTTTTCACAAAATCATACACATGGTATGGCATGATAATTAAAGTATAAATCTAATAAAATTAAATAAAAGTAAAAATCCAACAGGTAGGCTAGAAAAGTCAATAGTAATCCCACATGACCTGCTTTCAATAGTACACTGGCGGTTTCAACCATAGGCTGCACAAAACAAAAACAGGTATAGTTGCTCTTCTGCATTGAGTCTAGTTGGGTTTGGAGAGTGAGGGACCCATCCAATATGGTGGAGACGCTGTTACGCTCTTCAATGCCCAATGGGGCATCTATGTATTCATTTCTATGGCCCTATCTTAATACTCACACTTCCATCCTTCCAGTTCAATTGTGCAATCCCATCTACGGGTGCGTTGGATGTCCTGCTTTGGAAGTTGACCACGTCCCTTTTGCACCCTTGATCCGCACTTTGCCCAAGTCTGCATTAACACGGACTTTGGCGAAGGGTATTACCCACAATCCATTTCTGCGTGGGAGTTTTGATAAGATGAAGGAGCAATGGCTCAAATGTCCTTTCAGAAAATATGTATTTTCAAATGAAGGAAGTTCGTTTTAGAACAATCAATGATATTTAATCATGCTGTGAATGTTTTAGACTAAGATTTTATGTGGCCAGCACTTAATGTAAATGTTCTCAAATATTTGTTTGAAATTTGCTAATAAACATTTTTTCAAAAAGTTGCACAAACAGCAACCAGCATCCTGGCATACGTTGCAGTTGATGACGCAATGCTCCACGTCCCATTTTGGCACACTTGTGTACCACGATCGTGATCCTTATCGTGCACATCCTCCAAGTGTACTTTTTTTGTATATTATTGAGATTGGGCCTATGTGTTGATCAACATAAGCTGATGTTTTTTGCTACCCACAATGCATTGCAAGAATAACACAAAATAGGGAACTTAAGTCATTCCCATCTACTTCTACTCCAGGGGTCAACTACTGCCCTCAAAAAATGAATGGGAGTCTATAGGCCAATAAAAGTTATTTCTGATTCTGCTTCTGTGAACTGGATTTAACACATAATATCCCTGAAGGGATGGAGGGGAGGTATTGTGTGGTGACGTCACATGTGCTAACTTGTTATTTGTCTCGTCTCGTCGTCGTCTTCCTCCGCTTATCCGGGTCCGGGTCGCGGGGGCAGCATCCCAACTAGGGAGCTCCAGACCGTCCTCTCCCCGGCGACCTCCACCAGCTCCTATGGCAGGACCCCAAGGCGTTCCCGTACCAGATTGGAGATGTAACCTCTCCAACGTGTCCTGGGTTGACCTAGGGGCCTCCTGCCGGCAGGACATGCCTGAAACACCTCCCCGGGGAGGCGTCCAGGAGGCATCCTGACCAGATACCCAAACCACCTCAACTGGCTCCTTTCGATCCGGAGGAGCAGCGGTTCTTCTCCGAGTCCCTCCCGAATGTCCGAGCTCCTCACCCTGTCTCTAAGGCTGAGCCCGGCCACCCTACGGAGGAAACTCATTTCGGCCGCTTGTATCCGCGATCTCGTTCTTTCGGTCATTACCCAAAGCTCATGACCATAGGTGAGGATTGGGACGTAGATCGACCGGTAAATCGAGAGCCTGGCTTTCTGGCTCAGCTCCCTCTTCACCACGACAGATTGGCTCAGCGTCCGCATCACTGCAGACGCCGAACCAATCCGCCAGTCGACCTCCTGATCCCTCCTACCCTCACTCGTGAACAAGACCCCGAGATACTTCAACTCCTCCACTTGAGGTAGGTATTTGTTGTTATTTGTAATTATTTTAATTTCAAGATTTCACAAGCTTCCTAAGGACATTTTAAATCGTTCTAAAGTGATTTTTATTGTTCAAATTGAAATAATTTATGTCCAGAAAGTTTTAATTTGGGGTGTTTGTAATGACACTTGTAACTCTATGAGCAATGGACATAATTAATAAAAAAAAAATACAACTACTGAAGTTTAAGACAAGACAGATCATGATGTGTTGTCAATAAAAACTTTTTACAATTGTTTTAGTATTATGTAATGAAATGGCTTGCCACACAAACACTTATTCTTTTTGCAGCAAGTTTAGATTTTAAACTTTGTTGAGAGACTGTAATTAAAAACCCAATCCTGAAAGAAAATTGTGTAATCTGATTAAAATCAAACATTTGTACACTTTCTGATAAGCAGCCTAAATAAACCTGTACAATTCTCAAGATCATGTGGTTGATATAGAAGTGTAATGTGTAAACACAGTGTTTAGCATTTTACATTTTATTGTGTTCAGTAGTATAAAAAAGACAATTGAAACAATAAAAACCCATCATCCTGTTCTAAGAAACTGTACAAAACAATCTTTGACCTCAGAAATGTCCATCCGTGTTTACACAGATCATCACATGATTACCTTCTCTCTCTTTTTTTTTTCCTAAGAAAATAAGCGATGTAAGTGGAATGTGAACAGAATTACTGACGGATTTCAGTCTGTGCAGCGATGCACAGAAAAGCTGTGTACAATATTTACAGTATCAACAGGAAACACTGGTGGTGCAAAGGTACTGGGGCACTTCCAGCACTTCAGACGTAAGCATTTCGTCCATAAGTGCTGGCGGCGGCACTTCTGCTCGGTGCTGCTCCGGAGTACGCTGTCCCCCTAGTTTGATAAGTCACTGGACTGCAAAGAAAAAGAGACCATCGTGAGACAAAGGTTCGGTCAGCAACTTTTGTTTTCAGCCATTCTGTTGTAAGATGTGACAGATGGTCGACTGGTCTCTAGTGACTGCAAAAACAAGCCCAAACCATCAGCCCTCCATTACCATGCTGACAGGTTCCTATCAGACACGGTCATACATCTCCACTTTGGTGTGACCATGAGTAAGGCAAGTCCTAAGAGGTCAGCTCAATGGCAAAAAATAAAATCTGGCCAATAAACAGCTATGTTCTGCCAGAAATAAGATATCCTGCTGGAATAATAAGCTGGCAAAAGGAAGAAATACAGACCACAGATGTTAAGACACAGAAGCTCCTAACCATGCATAGATGGTTCCATCCTAAATGCAGCACCCTGGGACTGTACACTAGTTGTACGGAAGGAGGACGAGGACTAGTGAGTGTGAGAGCCACTGTCCAGGATGAAACATCCAAGATCCATAAGTACATCAAGGACAAGGCCCCAACAGATGACGTGGTCAGTGAATGTTTCAGACAATAACGAACAGAGGAGAAGATGCTGGAAATGTCATCATGGGAGGACAACTCCCTACATGGGATGTACCACCGACAGGTAACTGAAGTGGCTGATATCAAGAAATCCTATCAATGTCTAGAAAGAGCTGAAGGACTGCACAGAGACACTTGTCATGGCTGTCAAGGAACAGACCCTGAAAACCAGAGCAACAAGATCTACCACACCAGACAAGGGGCAGTCAGGGCAATAATCCCCAAACTGGAGGAGCGGCTGAAGCAGATCCCAGAAAACACATCAGACATCTCAGTCCAGAAAAGTGCAGATCTAGGAACAGCTAAGATACTGCAGAACCCTCAAGCCCCCAGGAATTTGGTAGAGGATTGATCTATCTATCTATCTATCTATCTATCTATCTATCTATCTATCTATCTATCTATCTATCTATCTATCTATCTATCTATCTATCTATCTATCTATCTATCTATCTATCAATCAATCAATCAATCAATCAATCAATCAATCAATCAATCAATCAATCAATCAATCAATCAATCAATCAATCAATCAATCTATCTATCTATCTATCTATCTATCTATCTATCTATCTATCTATCTATCTATCTATCTATCTATCTATCTATCTATCTATCTATCTATCTATCTATCTATCTATCTATCTATCTATCTATCTATCAATCAATCAATCAATCAATCAATCAATCAATCAATCAATCAATCAATCAATCAATCTATCTATCTATCTATCTATCTATCTATCTATCTATCTATCTATCTATCTATCTATCTATCAATCAATCAATCAATCAATCAATCAATCAATCAATCAATCAATCAATCAATCAATCAATCTATCAATCAATCAATCAATCAATCAATCAATCAATCAATCAATCAATCAATCAATCAATCAATCAATCAATCAATCAATCAATCAATCAATCAATCAATCAATCAATCAATCAATCAATCAATCAATCAATCTATCTATCTATCTATCTATCTATCTATCTATCTATCTATCTATCTATCTATCTATCTATCTATCTATCTATCTATCTATCTATCTATCAATCAATCAATCAATCAATCAATCAATCAATCAATCAATCTATCTATCTATCTATCTATCTATCTATCTATCTATCTATCTATCTATCAATCAATCAATCAATCAATCAATCAATCAATCAATCAATCAATCAATCAATCAATCAATCAATCAATCTATCTATCTATCTATCTATCTATCTATCTATCTATCTATCTATCAATCAATCAATCAATCAATCAATCAATCAATCTATCTATCTATCTATCTATCTATCTATCTATCTATCTATCTATCTATCTATCTATCTATCTATCAATCTATCAATCTATCTATCTATCTATCTATCTATCTATCTATCTATCTATCTCTATATCTATCTATCTATATCTATCTATCTATATATATATATATATATATATATATATATATATATATATATATATATATATATATATATATATATATATATAAACATACAGTATATCCAAATAAAATCTAATTGTATATTTTCACGGTTCCCCATTAAATATAAAATGTTTCCTTTCATTTCCATGATGGAGGTGTGGAAACGATCCATGTAGAGTTTTGGTAGAACGAGGTCCAAAGAGTCACCACTAATCTGAACTGCATCAACATTTTTGTGACACAAACTCATAAAATGTTTTGGAGTAAATAGCTAACGAGCTCTAATGGGGTTAAGTTTTATATTCTACTTACTACTTCTGGGTCACTTTTTTTTTGTTTTTTTGTTTTGTATTTGACTATTGTTTGTTTTGGAAATAAATCCAGTCAATTTATTTAGTTGTATTTGTCTCATTTATTTAGTTTTATATCCTCATCTATTTATTAGGAATTTATTTAATCATTCATTTTTTATTTAAATATTTTAATTATTTTTTTAAATTTTGGCATTATCAGGCTTCCCTTATATTTTAAGCTGTTTAAAAAATTGACCACTAGATGGCACTGTTTCCCAGATGCTTTCAGATACCACACACTCCATCTCTTTCTCCACTTGGAAGAAGGAATCATGTTTATCTGGGAATGACCTGAACTCACCCCTATCCATATGTTATATACATATCAAAGAAATGAAGCTTTGATTAAATGGAGTGAATCAGCAACACATCCGTGGGCGACTTAGTCAAATAGTAACTTCCTAGTCCTGGATACTCCCTTCAAATCTCTGCTAAACAGCAATGAGGACTCACTATTTTTCCTTTTTGGCCATTTTGCAGGAGCAGGTGAGGCACGCTCCTCCTGCGATGGCGAGCACAGCAGAGCACCAGCCGATGTAAAGTCCTTCTCCGATCTCATACCTGCCGCACAGAGCCGTAAGAGTCAGCCAACATCTCGCTTAAGGCTCTCAACACACCTGCATGGGACACACACTCACCTTATGCCGGGATACAAAGGGTCAAAGAAGTCGCGGGTGATGTTGAAGGCGTACCAGGACACTGAGATCATCGTGCACAAACCTTTTTTTAGAGAAATAAAAGCGTGTTCTTCACAGGCTGAGACGGCAACAAGAGAAATTTATGTGGGGCTGATTTAAAATGTGCAATAAAACATGATTTATTATCTTTCTGGAAACGTTCCTTTATCTCCTGGTTTTATGGGTATCAGCAGGTGATGATTATCAGAGCTCTGAAAGTAAAAATGCCTCTGGATGACTTAAAGTAAATGTGTGCTTTTGTTACCCTGGAGTAAAAAGAGGACCCCAGCAGTGCCTGCGATCCTCCCCTTCAGGGTGTAGTTTTCTCCCCCAGCTTTGGAACACTGGACTCCTATCAGAGCCCCCATCAACCCAAAGGAGCCCAACACGATGGAGACAATCATCAAAGCGCGGGAGGCCTGAATGTAACCTGGAGCGAGAAACCCAAAAATGAGCCTACATTTGTTTTTAAGGAGGTCCTTGAAATCATCAAACCGCCCTTTCATCTTGGATTTTAATGACAGGATTCCTTTATTGTTCTGACCTTAAAGTAGACAAGAATGGCAACTGATGGATTAAATAAGAAAAACTCTATTTAAATGTGCTGTTCTGTGCATGCCAGTAGAGACGTTTAGCCTACCGTTCAAAGCCAACAGTGACGGAAACTCCCTGCAGTTGTGGACTCCGGTTGAATCCGTAGCACAGGACATCCACAGGTTTTCATAAATGGTGGAGGTGGTGATGACGTTCCCGTCCACAGTGGAGGTCTTCCAGTAGCGATTTGGCAGAGCAATCCCAACCATCACCCAGCCAACGAACCCCAAAACCAGAGCTACTACTTCCACAACTGGATCCATGACCTCTTCTTGGTCCAGTGGTTAGAACAAGAACAAGAATATCCAGAATTTTCTTATATCCTCCAAATCTGGGAAGTTTGTTATGGAAGTTGGACCATCTGGGGATGTGAGCGCGTGTTGTCTCCTGCAGCACAACGGGGAGTGCCCGGCTGTCCGGATATGTATAATGATTTATACGACTCGCTGTTTCTCCTCCCCCTATCCTCTTGTCTTCCTACTTCTTTCCCTTTCACACACTTTATCTTCTGGTTTTTTTTCTCTCTAATTTTACTCCTCCGAAACGGAACAGGTGTTTATCGGCTCACTCTCAGGGTCCAATGGTCGCCTGCCAGCCTCAAAGGGATAGTTCAGATCTTTTAAAGCGGGTTCTGTGGAAACATTCAGAAGATTTAATACTTATCTTTGATTGTAAACACCTATGGAGGACATCAGTTCACAGATATAGTTTACTTTCGATAGGATTGATAAGCTAATGGCTAGTAAAAAGCCAAAGTGGATTACAAAACACCACTTTCACGTCTTTGTTGTACCATTGAAATTTTTGTATTGTTGAGTTATTCTAGAGGCAGTTGGACTTCATTTAGCACCACTATATTTAACCCATAGTTGTCATTTTAAAATTTTAAACAATCAACAGAACATGTCCTTCCCCTCTTTTTATTATCATACATTTATCGTTGTGTATTTATCAAACTACGTGTTTTTAGTTTGTCAGAATTCACTTGGTTTTCACCACATTGTTGTACAACTACCCATTCTTGACTTATGTAACTGCAAAATAATAAAAACTAACTGTCTTGACAGGTGAACCCAAATTTTTTATCCAGCATTTCATCTAAAGGCAAAGAAATAAGTGCACTTTTTTAATCTCGTCTAACAAGCTGTTATTTGTTCAAAATTTAAAGATGCGGATCAAGAACATGTTTGCAGAATGAATGCAACATGCAGTATATGTTAAACAAACAATCCTTCTTCCGAATAGTGCCATGTAATGAGGATGTTAATGGGAGACTAGGCACTTTTAGCACCTCCTAGTGTCTGTTTAGTATAACCAAAGGGAAATTTATCTCCTCACTGTGTGTTTGTCTTTTTAAAGAGCAAGTCACCCCCTACCAGATTCTTACTCAACTCCCACTTCCTGTTTGAAAATTGCAACAAATGCTGTTGCCTAGCAGGCAGAGAGGGCAGAGTCGCTAACAACACACACACACACACACACACACACACACACACACACACACACACACACACACACACACACACACACACACACACACACACACACACACAGGCTCACAACGACATTGTGACATCATATGGTGCCAGCTAACGTTCTAGGGTACCTCTCGGCCAATAACGATGGCAGATTTAAATTCAAATGCAGTGCAGAGTTTTTACCTGACAACGGCACAACACTGACAGTTTTAGGCAGAAAATTTTAATTTGAACTAAAATCCACGAAAGTGCAAAACTATTAACTACACATGTCTGCAGCACGATTAGACACGCATTTATATAGTTTATCAGAAAAAAGTTGATTTGGGGGTGACTCGCTCTTTGACACCTTAATCTAACAGCTGAAAGGTCTCCACAGCCTTCATTAGTGTCTACAGGAGTGATTCATCAGTACATTAAACAAATCAGCTGTGTTCATGATCAAAAACGTGCTGGAAGCAGACTGCAGCACCAGGTATGTCAGCTCAACAGTCCAACAGATCAGTCTGGCACTCTGAAGTTGCAAATGCAGTGTTCTAGTCACAGAGGGCGGTGGGGGTCTGAGTGACATTTGAATAACCATGTAAAGGGTCATTTTATCTCATACTGGCTCAAGAAAATGATTAAAACATATGAAAAAGTTGCAAAGTATCGCTTAACAAATCTGAGTGTTTTTCATTGTCATTCAGGCAGAAATCTTATGTTTCTTTTTGAAGTGCCAAAGGAACAGCTACAGCCTTGCTAACTAAATAATGTAAACATGTAACTAATCATGTCATACAGAAGGGACAACCATGTAAACATTGTAAATTGTTTACATGAACCGCCGACATTTTTTATGCTGAAATAAGTTTTAGCTAATCCAAGTGACTCATACTAACCCGAACCCAAACTCACAGACAAGCTATTAGCTCAGACTTCCTGTTAGTTTCAGATTGGTTAGAACCTAACTTCACATTTCCCCAAAATGAGCTGAAATAAATCTAGCAAATAGAAATCTGAGATTTAATTTATTATTATTTTTTATCAATTTATTTTCATTTATTGACATTAAAATCAAAAACAAAACTGAGTAAAAACCAAAATGAAAAGGGGACAGAAAGAAGAAAAATGTATGTTATCTGCTCTTTTCATAGAAATTTTTATAGAAAAATAAAGAACAAAAACAGATGGCCTGTTGTTGTGACATATACAGAAAAAAGAACACATGTTGCTATTTTACCTTTACGAGGAGTTAAATATCACTGCAAACTTGCTTTTATTGTTGTGATTTGAATATTTGAAGGACACAAGGACAATCACTTCTTGTCAAGCCCAGTTTAATGGAACAATATGAACACAAGTTGATTTATTTTAAAGGAACTTTAAGGAAGTTTGACAGCCAAAACATGTATAGAAATAATACATTTCTTCTTCATACATGCTCCTGCAATGCCCTGGTCCTGTAGAATGAGTCCTGGCATTTTTACTGTGATTGCCTGTTTTTCTGTAAAATCACAGAAAAAGAGAGATGCTCGGGTCGAGCAGGCTGCTTCATGCGCGTTCACGCTCAGGCATAGCTCGTAGCATTTGCTATCCGTAGCTTTAGCAGCAGAGAGTGAGGTAGTGCCAACTCAGCGACTTTGTCGCTGTTCCTAACACCTAGTGATGAACCTAGCTACATTTCTGAGGACCCTTAGCTACTTTCTGTAGAACTTTCTTCTAGATATTTCCTGCAAATTAGCAACAAAATAGCCATTTTTGCTCCGAACCGTTCTTTGGATTGACGTTGTTTCAGGTGTCATCAAGGATATAAAAGTTACAGATACTGTGAATGTTACTGGTGCTTTAGCTCACCTTGTAAGATGTCCGCCTCCCATGCTGAAGACCTGGGTTTAACTCCAGGTGTGAACATTATGAACCTCACTGACATCTGCACTGTTCATAAAATGACTCCACAATTATCGACTTCCGTATTATTGAGGTTCTTTGTAAAATGTTTTTTTTTTCCTATTTTTACTTCACCCTGTGTCTTAATGATTTTTACCTGTTATTTTTGGGAATTTTCTTGTATTTCCTTTTTATCTTTTATCTGTGTTCGACATGTTTATATAACGCCTGTTTAATTAACCAACATTTTTAGTGTACAGCGCCTTGTTTGGTTGTAATGCCTTGTGAATGCGCTTTATAAATAAAATTGGATTGGATTGGATTGGATTGGATTGGAACATAATTTGTCATTTGGAGTTTCTTTTTTACATTAATGGTATATTTTTTACAGTAAGATGCCCAAATTTTTATTTGAGACTCGCCGAACGGCATTGAATTCACAGATAAAAAAGATGTGGGTTCAACTTTCATTTTGGAACAATTTTTCAAGCAAGGGAAGGGAATGATCTGAGCATGCAGGAGGACTGACCCATCATAAACCTTTGTCGGCTGTGCTGAAGAGAAAGGTACAGAACCAAATTATTTAATTAATTAGCTGCACGTTCTCCTGTCCTCCCGGCCACACACACACACACACACACACACACACACACACACACACACACACACACACACACACACACACACACACACACACACACACACACACACACACACACACACACACACAGGACTGTCTCAGCTGTTATTGTCGTTAAGGAGTGTGTACGTACAGCATGTGCGCCTCGTGCACGAGCCTACTATTGAAGCTGCCGTTACGCTTTTGGCCTGAGGGGGCAATCGCAAGCATTAAAATTCAAAAGTCCGTAATGTCCCTTTAAAGGCACAAAAATAATCAGACACAAAGGTCCAAAGTTACTAACTTGGTTCATCTGGTATTTTATGTTTGGGCTCATGATGACTTCTGGCTCAGTGCCAACAAGAGCAGGTTTACCCAGCTGACAATATTAAGATAAATTGCAATCTGAATTTTAGACAAAACCATCGTGTAGCCAAAACTTGTAAAGGTGGAAAATGTATAATCTAGCAAACTCATTTGGTTAAAGGTCAGTCATCGAGCTGGAAGAACAGAGCAGTGGTGAACATGACTCAGCTAAAAGTTTCAGGAAGTTGCTCCAATTTAATGAAAATGCCACATTAATCACATATTGTGAAACTCTTTTCCTACTCAAATTTATAGACTTTTATCTTAAAATATGTGGTGCACCTATGCATGGGCGTCGCACCCATGGGGGATGTGGGGGATTCAACACCCACACTTTTCCAGCTGTTTTGCTCACCTCCACACCAGTCTGGTTTCTCTATGTCGCACTCACTCTGTTTGCCTCATCTCCTTCTTCCCCTCCCGCTTCTGACAGCCAATGTCGGGTTCAAGGAGAGCAGGAGAGGGAGGGACGGAAGAGCTCGACTGAATTCATAATTTTACATTTTGACATTAGCTGTACAAAGTCTGAGTTTGATTAAGTGAAGAACAACAATTTGCAGAGGTTATAACTGGCGCGGCGCCAGTTTTTCATTTTCGGGTGGGCCACGGTAATTCTGGACGGACCTTAATAAGCAGTGACTTAAGTGAAGCAGGCAGGTCGCGCTAGAAAATTTAGTTTAAAAAGATGTCATAAATGTTTTCCCCCGTCATTTTTATTTCTAAAATATGAAGTAAAAACTCACAATTTAATTTTCATTCATTTGTCATTAATATGTAGTCTACACCCGTGCGTTAAGTGGACCATCTTCCAGTAAAAGCAAAGCATCCAGCCCACCTCTCCAAATGCGTAAAATGTGCATCAGCCGCTAGTTAGGCGTGCCGCGCGCACCATCAGCTACGTCAGCCCAGACAAGAGCAGAGCAAATAGAGAATGGATAGAGGATAATTCTGTCTGGATGTGGATGGAGATTACATTTTACAGCAGCCTGATCATCATTTAAATACATAAACCCTCACCTGTCTTCTAGTCCACGCTATCAGCATTATTTTAATTGGTGTGTGTGTGTGTGTGTGTGTGTGTGTGTTTGTGT